CATACCACCTCTTTGTTGACATCGCAAAATTTAAGGCCATTTTCTGCAAATAACTAAATATCTGTTCCATCATTTCGTCAGTAAAATGAACGGTTGGAAAATGGCATTCGTCGGCAAAACGAACAGCTTTCATTTATCCTATTACTGATTTCATTCGATTTTCCTCATGAAAGTTTTTTAAAGGAGACCGCATCTTTGGTTTCACATGTTTTTGGCGATTCCTCGCTGCGACAACACCTTAAATTTTGTAGTTTGGCAGATAATTTTCAAAAAATCCCTCGATAATTACTTTAATCAGGCTGCTTTTATCAGAATAGATCTTCAGAGACTTTCTGGGCAGTCTGTTTGTACCTGCCGATCATTTTTACAATTTACAGTTCTTTGAAAAACTCCTGTTATTAAACATTTACCTTTTATCAGCCTTACGACCCATTTCAAGTCTTCAGACTTACAATGTTATTTGAGACTTCGAAATTCAGAACATTTAATAGAAATGTCGACCGTTTATTTATATCTGTGCAGAACAAATACTCCACTAAGCAGATAGTTGTTGGCATCATTCATCAAATAATCACCATTTCGATTGCAATTATATATACATATCTATGTGGTGTGTGTGTGAGAGTTCGTGTGTGTGTGTGAGCGTGTGTGAGCGCCTGTTAGCGCGCGTGTGTGTATGTGTATGGATATATGTGCACGAAAGAATGCTGAGAAGTTCTCAGGACTAAGACTAAGAAAGCATTAAAAATAATTCTGATGCTTAGTTATTTGGTCAGATTTGGGAAATTTTTTTTCTGCACCCTTCATATATATATATATACTAGCAGTAGACCCAGGCGTTGCCCGGGGATGTAACAGTAAGAGATAGACCAAGTATCGACCATCATAAAAACTGAAAAATAAAATTGACAAAGATTATTGTTTAAGGTTGACGAACACGCATGTCTTAATTAGTTTTATTTTATTTATTTATTTTTTTTTTTTACGAATTGGTCCAACCCAAACTCAAACAAAAACATTGTTTTCAATCGTTATGAGTCTACCGATTGAATAGAATTTTATTATAAACAATTGTCTTGTAAATGGAATTTTTAAAGCATTCTGAATGTAAAAATAAAGCAAAAAGTGTGCAAGACAATAAGAAACACTACCTGCCAAAAAAAGTGAAGTTATGTTGAAATCGGTTGAAAAATGTCGGAAATCCGATCCCATATATAAACGAACACACACACACACACACACACACACACACACACACACACACACACACACACACACACACACACACACACACAACTAACCAACCTGGGTTTTATAATAAGTATAACTTGATAACTCGATATTAATAAGTATAACTCGACATGAGTTGTCCCCCTTTCATTAATGCCTCTTAATCGTGTTTTCAAATTGATTTTGTGCAAAAACAATTGTGTTTTTCTAATTTTTGGCGCTGTCAGAATTATATCATATTTATTCTCATTTTACCTGGATATATATATATATATATATATATATATATATATATATATAGGATGCGATGGGTAAATTGACACCATTTTATATTTTTAATTTCGCTCATGCGCGTTGTTTGTTTTTGATTTTGTCGACTGCATAGTAAAAGTAGGGTCAATTGGGCACCGTTTGTGAGAAAATGCAACATGACGCAATTTACCCCGCCATAAATTTGGAAAAGGCATGCTATATATTCGCGTCGGAACCTCCAATACGAACATTTCGGAGTGTTTGGATGTTTGACAGTGCAGAGAATTCGGAATGTGTTGTATGAGTTTAATGGTATTTTCGAAGGTTAGACAGCTCGGAAAACTCACTCTGGTCGTTCTGATTAGAAAAGGACTCGCAAATTTGCTTGTGAGGGCCTCCGACTCAACACAGATGCCTACATTAAGTGCCTGCTGAAAGACCTTATGTCTGGCAACAGGACTCTGCACCATGCCACACAAGCAGGAGAACACAGTGATGGCTGTCAGACACTGTGTGCGCCTCTATCTGGCCACCTAACTCCCCAGAGTTCAACCCCCTTGATTATATTATGCGTGGGGTGCAGTTAAGCGAGAGACTAACAAAACTCATTGTAACTCCAAAGGAGAACTAAAGGCATAGATTATGGCAGCATTCACCAACTTTAACAAAGAGACCGTCCAGAAGAGTTGCAGGAGATTCCGAAGTCGTCTGGAGGCCGTGGTTGAAGCCAATGGCGATTTTGTTGCATAAATGTACTCTTTAGTATTTGAAGATATTTTTGTGTAATTTTGGTAAATATATTTGTTAAAATGATATATTTAGATGCATCCATTGCATCCTGTATGCGCACGCGCGTGTGTGTGAATTTAGAACTTAAGTAACTGTAAATTTAACTATAAACTAAAAGAAATATTAATATATAAGGATGTTTTTTTTGTTTTTTTTTAAGGATTCAATACATTGAATCCCGAAAAAGAATCAGAGAGCTTGTGGACACATGAAGAAAGACATGGAGCCTAAGAGCTAGATAAGTATGAAAAATTAGTCAAACAATAAAAGGAAAAGAAGCCAAACGATGTGGTAATGAAAAGGTTTGACGCGAATAGAAAGTTTCATATCACCCTTTATTCTGGTTTCTCTTCCTGTTTGAAATGATGAACGGTTAAATGCAGACCACTCCTTGCGACAGATGCAATTGCTTCTTTAAGTTATTGTTCAAGTGCAGTCTTCAGATATTTTTGTGCTGCAGCTGAATACATTAATCAGCCAATGTCTTGCTTCAATGAACTGATTGATTATGCGGAATATGTTCTAGAATTGGTGCGAGTTGAGATCATTGGATCCGTCCTTCAACCAGAATACTGAGTTTTTTTTTACTCATGGCTGACCGCATTTTAACATTCACATATACACACAACAGGAATAAACGTAAGGGCTTTCTAAATCATATTGTCGACTTGTGCCAGTTTAAAATATATATTCCTACTTCGTTCAATATATTTATATATATATACGTATTAAACACCTACCACATAGTACACACACACGCGCGCGCACATACACGCACACACACACACATATATTCAGACATGTATTGTTAAATATAACAGACAAAGAATGTCTATTATGTTTTATCAGGAGCCGTTCCAAGCTTCGCATGTTGGCTTTAATTTCAGTAGAAAATTAAGACAAAAACTGTCCAACGTTTGGATATTTCTTTATTGTGTTGTTCATCGATCTAACCTTTCGGCTTACATGAGCCATCGTCAGAGTGGTAATTATCTTAGATTATGATTCTTAAAATGTTTGTTTTTTTTGCTCATATATATTACTAGTAATACTTTCAGAAAAATTGTTTTACACTCATACTTATTCTACACGTTATACTGTTCGACAATAGGTCCAAATTAGATTATAAAAGTTATATTAATACCTATACTTTTATATATTCTTCGACGTATATTTTAATTTCTAAAGCAAAACTTTTTTTTAAACCCGAATAACTTATATATTCAACATACCAAGCAGAAATCACCACTTCTAAATTTATTAATTTACAAAGCACTTTCATTGATTATAGAATTAGTAGTGATAACCCCAACCTAAATATATGCAATTCAGTTTTAGCTTGTTTTTTTTTTTTTTCATAATAACCAAAAAAACATTCCCAATTACTACTATAACTATCTTTAGAATTTATCACTGCTACCTCTTTCATCGTATTACTTTCCCCTATTCTGACCTTTCCTCCCCTACCCTTCTCTCTTAGGAGGCTTGGAGATGCCGTCCCTAAACTTTTGACCGTTGTTATCGACAAGGTATCTTTCCAGTTTGACAATCATTTAACACCTCACCCATCTTTCACCAAACTGCTATCAATAATCACTATTGTTTCACTCCGTCACCTGTTTGCTTTATGTATATTTTTTTCTCAAACAAATGGAAAAAAGGAAGTGACGTTTCACATACAGTTTTTTACAAGCAGAATTGTTCATAACTATTTTTGGTTCTCACCCGTCGAGGTGCAATTGAAATGCACCGAAACGAAGTTGCATCTTTGTATCGAGTAAATTGTTTTTGTCTATATGATAAAATTATAATAAATAATTATTGTTCTACTATCGGCATCGAGCCCTCTTTTGAATTAATGCTGTGAACGTTAGATTTTATATATTATTTTCGTTCACATTGCATCGGATATATATATATATATATATATATATATATATATATATATATATATATATATATATATATATATATCCAATACTAAATAAGAAAAAATGTAATTACATAAAATTATTAAACATGTTTCATTTTATGAGAGACAAGGAAAATATATACAATAAACCTTATAAAAGGAACATTGAAAAGCATTAACATCGACCACGTATATAATAATAATAATAATAATAATAAAATATTTGATGCATTCTTTTTCTGGTAAAACCGTTCTATTTAAACTTGATTACCAGCCTTTCAAAAAGATTCATGATGATAGAACGTACACGAACAAAAATAGAAAAAAAAAAAAAAGAAGAAGAACCTTGGACATTTTCCCAATTTTTTTTTTATTTGCAGACAGACAGACCTTGGCTGAATGTAACAAAATTCGTTTAAACGGAGTATTTCTGTCTAAACACACACACACACACACACACACACACACACACACACACACACACACACACACACACACACACACACACACACACACACACAAATATATCCGATATATATATATATATATATATATGAAGAGCGATGCGGATTATAGCGAAAAAAGGAAAAAAAAAAGAAGAAAGAACAAATAAAACTGAGCAAACCCTTGGTGATTTTGAGGATTTGATCGGTAATAACCGATCACATCTCAGGTCTATAATTCAGTAAGCACATGCCCTCCGTGCTGTTTCATCTTGACTAACTTAGAAGACTACAGGTCACCCTATCCTGCCACCCCTGTCGTGCTGATGCGACGATATATGTGTGGATCATTTCACTCTGGGTTGGAGTGGGGAATGAGAACACGGGGTCTAGGAGAGCAGCCGCAAGGTGCGCACGCATCCCACACTGGCGTCGACCGGATGCTTTCGCGTCCGTTCTTGCCACAGCCGTCCCGGAACGGGAAGCAACGGAGGTTGAGTAAATAAGGAAGGTAAGGAACGATTTTCGACTTCATTCAAGTCAACCGTCTGTCACTTTTCCAGCGCTCTGGGTGAGCGTTGGTCAGTCTTGTGAAGAGCTTAGGTTCTCATTTTGTGACAAGGCAGATCAAAGAAGATCGCCACAAACCTCGAATCGTTCCTTTTCAAATCTCTTTCTATCTTTTCCGTTATATCCGTTGGACATTGACTGCTGTATTATGCGCATGCTCGCCCCACCATTCTACTTTCTGACCCTCTGTTCATGTTTTTGCCCGTAATACAATTCTGGACATCGGCCTTTCTTATTCTCTAAATTCTTCTACAACCCCTGATCCGCATCTAACTATTTATCGTCTTCGAGAAAACGCAATACGTTTCTTTACATCTATCTTCACATTTTCCTCTTTTCTCTGCCTTTTCCAACCCCTATTTCCGTCTTTTAATGTCATTCCGTCACCCGATTCTATTGCCAAAATAGACAAACACAGTAACTGAAGAACGTGGGTCACTTCCCGTCAGATGGAAAAGGTCTGTGGGACGTTGACATAAATGATGACATTCATTTAAAAGTGACTTTACCTTTTCAGCTCAGAGGTCTTAGAGTTTTGGACAGTTCTTATTCTTCATTCAAAATCTAAACTGGCTTCATCGCTCGTTGTCCAGTCAAACAGCTCTATAACCCCGGATAACAATAACTGTATTTTCTTCTTCCTATTATGTTCGCTTAAAAATGTTTAATTTCCCATTAGGAAATATGACGTAGGAGCGATGAAGTCTCGGCCGCTTGAACTTCGAACTCTTGCTTCTTCTGTGGACAAGTAGAGATTCGCGGGAAAGATTTTTATTTCGAAGATGCAATTTGATCTTTCATTTATTTAGTTTCATTTGAATTAGCTACATTAATTAATTCCTTTCCTTTGCATTCTTTTTCCTTATAGTATATCTCTCTCTCTTTTTTCTTTTTCCTTATAGTATATCTCTCTCTCTTTTTTCTTTTTCCTTATAGTATATCTCTCTCTCTTTTTTCTTTTTCCTTATAGTATATCTCTCTCTCTTTAAATTTTCATCACTATTGTTTTTCTTATTCTTTTGTACTTTATTTCTTTGTCTTTTCATTCTGTTTTCCACTCATTACATCTCTTTTCTTTTTTTAACATTTTTTCGCTGATTCTTTTTATTTTTTTCATCTTTAATCCAATGCTTTTATCATGTTTTATTTTTAAATTTGTAATTATATTTTATTTCTTAAATAATTTTTATTCGTTTTCTTTCTTTCATTTGCATTTTTTATTTTTTGCAGCTCCGCTTTTATTTCTAATTTTTATTTTATCAAAAACACTTTTGACTTCTTTTTACCTTGGTTTAATCGTGAGTACATATTAATGAAACTATATTTGATAAAAAAAATATTTTTTAATTGTACATTTAATAAAAATACGCTTAAAGAATTTTATAAATTCTATTAAAGATTGATTCATTGAAATCAACGTAGGCAATAATACCTCGAAGTGGAAAACCAGAAACATACTGTTAAAAAAAAAAAAAAAAAAAAACGGAGCATGTATTTATAAATTCTAAAAAGTGATAAAAAGATTGATAAATAAAATTAGAAAATTACTAATAAAAAACTGAAGAATTTATGATAGTTCAGGCTCGAGTCGGTTAACCGTCAGATCTAATGTTTCCCCATGCCCAGTTCATATCCTACCGGAGAACCCAGAATAAACAGGCCTATAGAAGAAAAGAAATAAAGATACTGTAAATAAAAGAAACAAAAAAAAAAAAATAACGTTTGAAGTGATAAAAATGATATACTGAATAATTTAATATCGCTATACTAGAAAATCGTAAAAGAAACGTTCAGCAAAAGCAAAGAATGAAAACACAACTTGTGAATGCAACAAATTAGAATATACGATGGTGACAATAATAATTGTTGGGAGACGAGATGCAGTTCCAATTTTTTTCGAGCAAGGAGTTAAATAAATGAAAAGAATATAGAAACTATTTACGTGATAAAAAGTTTCTCAAAGTTACCTTCATTCTTTCTTAGTGTCAGTTGTCTTGAAATCTTTGAAGAAGCATCTATCTATCTATCTATCTATCAATCTATCTGTATGTATTTATATGTATGTTTTGGTCTGTGCCTGTGAGTGTGTAAGCAGAGAAATGCAGGGCGACACATGATAAGTGTTTGTTAAGAAAGTATCTAAACTACTAAATATTTTAAATCTATGTCCAAATATATGTACAAGAACGCGTTTTATTTATAAAGGATAAAAGTAGCAATAGCAAGAGGTGCCGAAAATAGAATCTGACCAAATGATGAAATGTAATTTGAGGGGAAGTGATTCTTGGTGGAATCGAGAACGTT